CTTCTGTGACTTCAAGTTTGGTTTGTAGAGAGTTGTCATTTCTTTCTGTTCTGCCATGTTACTGTACTTCTTCATGGAGCTTGATGAATTGATCCTCTGCCAGTGCATTTGTGGTAGTAAATACCTTTTTGATTTGGGTATGCATTGGTTACTTTGATGTTGAGCTGCTTCTGGTTGTATCTGAGAGCCTGCACTTTCCACCCTCCACTACCTCTACCAGGGGCATTGTCAGTGCCCTCTTTGTGCTGCTTGTGCCTCTGAGGTTGCTGGTGCCTTACTGCTTACAATGTCACTGCAGTCTCAGGTGTCACCACCAGAGTCACCAGGCTGCAATCACTTCTGCTGCTTCCAGGGTCACCTGGATCTCATGTTCCCCAATTGGCTCTCCACAGAGTCTTCACGGGCTCAGGTGCTGCTGTCCCGTGTTCCACCTGCGCTGTTGCTCCTGGGTTATGTAGGGGTGCTGGCAGCACCACTGCCCTGAGCACTGGGTTCGTGGGTGTCACTGTCACTGCCGGGGACCCAGGGTCTTGTATGCAGCCCCTCCTGTTGATAGATTGGCTCAGTAGTTTAAAGCAAATCTCAAACCTCGTGTAATATATTCATATCAACCCTAAGCACTTTAATATGCATCTGAAAAATAAAAAGATAATTTTTACATAACCACAATATAATTACTGCACTTAAAAATTAACAATAATTCGTTAATAACTAATACCCAGTCTGTACTCAAATTTCCTTAATTGCCCCCAGAAAATTTCATAGTTGGTTTATTCAAATAAGGATCCTAACAAGGTCCACTTATTATATTTGGTTGTAATGTCACTTAAGTCTTTTTTAAGCCACTTTTCATTTAGAGTAGTACCCTCTCCCCTTTTTATGCCATTGACTTGTTCAAAAACTGAGTCAGTTATCCTACAGAATTTCCTCCATTCTAGATTTGTCAGATTGCTTCCTAATAGTGTCATTTAACTTGTTCCATTATCACCTATATTTCTAGATTGGAAGTTATATTTAAAGTCTTGATTAGATTCAGATTAAATTTTATTTTGGCAATCATATTTTGTAGGTGGTGCTGTGTAGTTTGTATTTCACCACATCAGGAGACATACATTTCATAATGCTAAGATTGAGCAATGGGTTCAGATGGTGACAGCCTAATTCATTATAAAGTTCCCCATCAACTACACTTAATTGTTTTACCATCCATTGATGAACATTGATTCAGTCATTTTATTAGGGGTTACAAAAAGGTTGATTTTCTGATTTTATCATTCATTGCATATTTATTGACTGGAGTAGTTTTATAGAGAATAACTTTCCCTCATCCACCACAATTTAATTACAATTCATACCAGAGAGGAACAATAAATGCCTAGTTCTTTCCCTTTAATTATCAGTTTAGAGAGTAATAAGTTGTTACCCTAGGAACTTCCATTGGTGTCCAATGAGTATTATTTATCTCTCTCTCTCTCCCGCTGGTCTTCTCCCTCTCCCCCTCTCCCCCTTCCCCTTCCTCCTTCTTCCTCTCTCCTTCTCCCCCCAACCCTGTATCGCTTATGAACTAGTGGGTTTAATATCTTCCATACGTCTTATATAGTTGCACACATTTTTCTTTTTGGTGCTCAGTTGTGTATCTGTGGCCTCTTCAAGTTGACCCATGTCCATTTGATATCACCCGCATTAGTTTGTGAGAGTTTCCTTGCTTTCTGGCACAAGATATACCAGGCCCATCTTGTACATTTTTAACACAGACCTGGAATCAGCCATTTCTACCAAGGACCCTTGTTCCTTTTAATGAGGAATGGTTCTTAGAGGCTATAATCTGAATGCTGGGGGTGCTCATTGGTATTGGATTATTTATGCTTCTAGGCCTTTTCAATGGACAGAGTTAGCTCATTATTTTTAAAGTATGCAAATGTTTATAGATTAGAGGCAAAACTTTTTGACTGTATTGAGGAGGCCAAATGTTTTTTGAATGGCATTTTATAAAATGTTTTCAAGTACTGGCTGACTTTGTTTTCTTCCATCAATAACAACAAAAGTTATTTTCTCCCTTACATAATATAAACTGTGTTCTTAAATTGAGATATTCTCACTCAAGATCTTTCTTATAACCATTTTCAATGTAATGTTTACTGTAGCTGACTGCTAGATGAGATAATTGCTCTTACATTTTAGCTTTCATTAAATTTGAAAGGGCTCTTATATGCTGTTATTATTTGAATAAGCATGCATATGTAATAGTGTACCTTATCCACACCCAAACAGTTAATTATAGTCCAGACTATATGATCCAAGCTATAAATCAGAAGGAAGATATGATTCAGTTCTTATTCAATTCAGTAGCGATTCAACATTCATCAGATTAACCTTCATTGGCAACCTGCCATTAAGTTAGTCGTTGTGGAGAACATAGTGATTCGTCATGGTCCCTGGCCTCGGGAACCTAGAATAGAATAAATGAGATAAATATTGATTCTTTACCAAACCCAAGGATGTTAATGTTATTGGGATTTGAAACTTAAGATAGGCTTAACTTATGGAGCACGTCTTTATACAGTAGGCAACAAACTATCAAAAGTCAATATTCTAGAGGGTAGGCAGATTGAAATGATATATGTGAATTACAGATCCCTTAAAGGGTACTGAGGAATATTAGGAATTTCCCTATATATCCCAATGCACTCCTAACTTTAAGAAGTTGTCATCTCAGAGAATGATATTTCCACTCTTGGGCACAAGCTACTGGGATGGAATAAGTATTCTGACCCAGAGGAGTATTTTTTTAAATAATATCTTGGTTCTCAAGAATAGATAGTCAGTGCATCACAGATGGTTCCAATAAAATTTACCAAATGAAAGGAAAAAGAGAAGTAATTATACACAAAAGTTGGAATAGAAACTTTTTATGGATAGTCTCAGTTTGGAAGTTGAGTTAAGAAATGAGAAAACATTGGCTAGAGATCATACAGGTTTTTGTATAAGCCAAAGTTTGTGTCTCATTAAAGTCCTCTAGTTTTAAGAATTTTAGTCAGAGTTTGTAATTCATTAAATTCATTGTATGCTTACTTTGTGAAAAACATTACACTAGGCTCTCTTTGGAGATTAGGGTGTGGGTGGAGGGAGGTAAAAATAAATAAGACATAGATGCTATGTGGAGATGGGGGTAGAGGAGGAAAGGAGAAGGTAACAGGATGAGTAAAACATATCCCCAGCAATTAAATTGTTTGTAATAACGTGAAGAAAACAGATTTATAACAACTTATTATGATGTAACATAATACAGAAAGAAAAAGGTGCTAAAGTGGAATTACAGACAAGCTGTTGTAGGAATATGGAGGAGGGAGAGAATAATTCTGAATGGTGGGTGATTAGGAATGACTTTAAGGAGGAAGTGGCATTTGAACTAAACCTTGAAAGATGAGAGAGAATCTTAGAGGTAGAAACGTAAGGAGAAGGGCATTCTAGGTTAAGAGAATGACATACTCCAAGGAATTGGGGAATATGATGGAGATGAAATTGAAAAGTTAAGTTTAGGGCAAAATTATGAATGTTCATAAATATCTTACTAAGAAGTTTGAGTTTTAATTGTCTGTCCCCTAGGTTCTTTCTCTAGGCCAACAGTCTTTATTTTATATTTTCTTAAGTACTCTATTAATAAATGACATTGTTTTTCTCTGTCACATTTCAGAAAATATCCTCACTTTATAGCTCTCCATGTTTGTCAGTAGGCTGATTTTCAAATTCTTCTGATAAGAGAAATTGGCATTTTTTAATATTCTGCAAAGAATCATGCCTATCTGAATATATTAGCATTTAATGTTAATTTGAGTTTTTCAGGGACTATTCAAATGATATTTGTGAATATTATTCAGTGTAAAAACAGAATAAAAATGAATAAATGCTACCCTCATCTAATGAATTCACTCAAGTATCTTTCTTTGCTCTTTCCCTGACTGTATTTATAAATTTGATATTGCAAAGTAGCCTATTTCCTAACTTGTGGGAAAGAGATTTTATTCTTGAATCTGAATTTCATGTAAATATTACCTTATTATTCTTGAATCCTCAATTTCCCTCACCGCATATTTACTCCCCACCCTACCCTAGCTACAGCACCAACAAGTCCTGTTGACGCTCCTCCTAACAATATCCGTGACCTGCCCACAGTCCTCTGTCCTACCACTACCACCCCAGTCCAAGCCAGTGTCATCTCTAGCTGAGCTTCTCCTCCTCCTACCTAGTCTCCCGGCTTCCACTCAAGCACCTACCTCCCCCGCCCATTCGTCCCTGCTTTACAATAGATTCTCCACAGGTAGCCACCGTGATCTTTTCAAGGTATAGGGTTAGGCCCTGTTAATTTCTTGCTTTAAACTCTCCAAAGGCTTCTACCACACTTAAAATAAAAACCAAGCTCCTTACCTTGGCTCACAAAGCTGTATATGACCTGCCCTTCTCTCCACTCTTGCCTCGTTCACACCGTTTACTACTCTTCCCCCTACATTCCAACCACACTGGCCTTATTTCACCTCCTCTAACTTCCCAAGCTGGTTCTTGCCTTGGGGTCTTTGCATGGTTAGTTCCCTTTGCCTGGAACGCATAGCCCCTTCCCTGACCACTAAAGTGGAGTAAAGTAAATTAAGTAGTCACACTCTATAATGTATCTATTCTATTGTCTTCAGTTTCATAGCACTTCTCAGTATATGAAATTATCTTTTCATTGTTCCTCCCCACCAGACACAGTCTCGCTAAAATATGAACACTGGGAAGGCAATGACCTTGTCGTGCTTACTATTGTGAACCCAGCATCTGCAATAGTGCCAAGCACATCCTTAGATATTCAGTGGGTATTGAATAAATGGTGTTTGAATGAACTGTGACAAGTGGTATCTATGCTTCTATTAACAGCAGTATTGAAATGGTTCTCTTGATACCATTAATGTTATTTTGTTAATAAGATGACAGAGTTCTCTATTTCTCTCTCGTTTACGCTTTAGATATGAAGCCCCACAGATTGCCTTACGTTGTGGGATTATGCTGAGAGAATGTATTCGACATGAACCACTTGCCAAAATCATCCTCTTTTCTAATCAATTCAGAGATTTCTTTAAGTATGTGGAGTTGTCAACATTTGATATTGCTTCAGATGCCTTTGCTACTTTTAAGGTAATTTTTTTTTTCTTAATCAGCCAGGTCATTTAGTTTCAGCATTTAAAGTCACTTGGCCTCTGAAGAGGCAATTTAATTTTAAAAAGCATAAAATTATATTCTTTAGGCCTGAGCATAGCCAACTGTATATGATATGGATCGTAAAGGGGATTCAGTAAATAGAATGCAATCTATTAGGCCAGTCTGTCACATTATGGAAAAAAACAACTCAAAATACTTGTCACGAACTCATATGAAATGAATTCCAATATTTAAGTGAAAATGAACAAGTAGTGCTCTGTGTATGGCGTGCTTTCATTTATGTTAAAAACAGAGTATAAACTGCCACTTAAGGTGCATGTGCACTGAATACCTCTGGAAGGATATCTGGGAAACAGTAACAGTAGTTACCTCCAAGGAAAGGAACTGGGTAGTAAAGGAAGATAGAGAATTACATCTTCGAATATGAAAGATATCACATTGTTTTATCAGTCTAATTTTAAATACCCACATGGTAAAATATACGCTAATAATTATAGTTAATTTTTTGTAATCATGTATATATTTATAAACTTATTACCTATTTTGTTATTATATAGGAAATTTAATAACTTAATTTAATAGTCTTTTAAATTTTATTTGTGGTAAAATATAAAATTTACCATCTTGACCATTTTTTAGTGTACAGTTCAGTAGTGTTAAAGTATATTCGTATTGTTATGCACCCAATCTCCAGAACTTTTTCATCTTGCAAAACTGAAACTCGCATCTTTATACTCATTAAACAACTCTCCATTTCCCCCTCCCTCCACCTCCTGGCAACCGTCATTCTACTTTCTGTTTCTGTGAGTTCGGCCATCAAAAAGAAGTTTAGAGAGCATATTAGAAAATAGCTAGCTAATTTGCAACTAATATACTAGAACTTATACAAAATGAGGGACGACACCTTCAAGGTTTCTATTTTAGAAAACCATTTACTTATTCTTATGATCCTGCCATTATTTAATATATTTTGAAATTGGTATCAATGTCTGTAGCATGTTCATTTTTCAATAATAGCAAGTCTCTATCCTTTGAGGGCAAATAAAAATTTTGGAAACAGCGAAAAGCTATTTGACATCCAGGTTAGTGGATAAAGTGGGTGATCAAGTTAGCTAGAACTGTTGTTGTTTTTGATAATGATAATAAAAATAAATTTTAAAATGACTAAAATAGAGTCTGATTTTCTTCAGTGTCTACCAAATCGGTTCTGAAGGCCATTTTAGAAGAGGAATTCCAAAAATATTTTGAGCTGATGATGAAATGGCATCATTGAAAAAAATAGGTTTTCAAGTTGATTATAAAATAGGCAAGGCTTATTTAAATGTATATATTCAAATTTGTTTCTTTAAAGGCATTTCAGCAATTCACTTCTTCGTTACATAATTCCAAATTTACTTCTTTCTTTCAGGGTATAAATATGTATTTTTACTTAATTATAATCTATGTATGACTTTATTTTTTATATATTATCTTAAATGCATATTTCAACAATGTTGACATAGTTCATATACTAATATTAATATATACTTTAATCTTATTACTTTATGTACATGGTTTGAAAGTTGCCTGTGACCTGGGTGATAAATAGTTCTTTTTAATAGCTCTCTAGCAGTGGAGAAAGGTGAAAGCAGTGGTGTTGCTCTGCTGAAAACTACATATTATCTCAGAGACTAGGAATTTACTCAGCCTGTTCTGAGAAGGTTCCCTAAGTCTATTAAAAGGTGTGTTAGCTGACGTGGTGGCAGGAAGTGTGTGAGTGTCAGGGAGCAGAAAGAGTCAAGAAAGGGCAGAGATTGGAGTGGAGCAGGAGGAAGGGGGGCCTCAGGAGAAGAAACATGGCCAAGGAAAAGGGATACAGCAGGGTGCAAGTGGAGGCGGGGCCTGCAGGCGGGGCAGTGACGGGGGCTTGCTGTGCCCAAGAGAACGGAATGCTGGTGAGTGACTGCCCTGAAGGCAGCCTGGTTAGGGGTAGGCAAGGCTGGGTGGCTGCCTGGGACACAGTCCATAAAGGGAACCAAGATACCTCCGGAAATAAAATGAAATGAGGAAAATTGTCTTGACAAGAACTCCTGTCGGGGAGAATCCTATTTGAGGATGACAGTTAACTGTGGCACTTTTGTTTTAACAAACGGGATGTGCAGGTTTGGGAGCAGGGCTGAACTGCCTGAGACAGTAGAGGAAAGGAGCTGCAGTGCCGTCGTTCCCTAAAAGCCTCAGCCAAGCCTGAAATAAATACAGAACCAATCTAGAATCTCAGTTTGAAGAGAGGGCGGTCACCAGCCTGCTTAGGTTTTCTGTCTCCATTCAGTCCTGCCTGCCCCCTAGATTCTCCCTGAGAAAACAGGGAGGAGAGGAAGAGCCCACGCCTGGAAGTCGGGGATAGACCGAAAAGAGCAAGGGAAAGAGAGAAGGGAAGAAAGGGGAAGAGGGGAGTATGAAGAAGACAACGACTAGCGTAGGGAAGAAGAAAACTGGCAAGAACAGCAAAGAGTAAGGGGAAGGAAGGAAAAGAAAGAGAGGAAAGGGTTGGGGACAAACTCTAAGGAGAGTTGACTGGTGGGCGGAGGGAGGGGGAGTGCGGGCAGCAAACATGGACATGTGGTCAGAGTGCTGTGAAACCCACCCCAGGAGCCTTTCCCATTTCACAGGCGACAAGTCTCACCCGGGAAAACAAAATTGTACAGTGGCTGCAGATGAACCCCGCAAAAGAGTTTATCTAGAGCACATGGTGAGAGAGGCCTTGGTGCATCAGATGTGAGGAATGACATTTAACACAAAGGATGATTCCATTTCTTTCTAGCAAAGTGTCTGTGCCTAAACAACTAATATGTTTTATGTTAATAGGTACTGTAGTCCTATTTTTTTCCCTTTTCTATGAGATGACTCTTAACTGTCATGGAAACAAGTTAGTTCCTTTTGTAAAAAAACATAAGTAAGATTTCACAAATAATTATAAATATAGAACAAACTTTAATGGAGGGAAAAAGCAAATACAAATCAACATGTATTTTTGAAAATTTCCCCAAAGATTTTTCAACGTTTAATAAACTATACTTGATAATAATATCTTGCTATCATATATTCTGGTCAATTTAATTTTCTGTACAATATTGAATCAGAAAAATAAATTATGATGTTCTGATTTGTACTTCAGTGTATTTTCCATTGAACTTAAGTCCTTAAAAATCTAAATAAACAAAAAGTTTTCTAGTATGCTAACAATATTGGAAATGCCAATTTTCTGTATTTTTCCAAAATACTATGGTTAATATATAATGTAACAATGACTGTAAGTCAGCATTTTTTTTAAGTAGCTGGTTTCAAGGGGTTTTGTTGGTTAGTTGGTTGGTTGGTTTGCTTTAGTTTCAGTTTGGTTTTATTTTGGTTTAGGATTTTGTTTTTAACCTCTTAGATTTATCTTTTTTGTTTTGAGCTTCAAGATCATTGTTGCCCAGTTTAATCATTAATGTTTTAACATTATTAGTTTATGTTTTTGTCATGGTATTGTCTACAGATTGTCGTTTTCCAAGAAAGATTCCTTACAGCTACAATCTCTTTCATCCTTCCCTCCAAGAATCCACATGATAGAAGTGGTTGCTTCTATACTTAAGACTATGCAAAACTTAGTTCTGTCAAAACAAAATTGTTAGGAGGTAGGATGAAAGAGTATCTTTATAATAATTTTAAATTCTTTAAAAGTTGAACTTTATTTTTCTTTGAAATTTTTTGCTTTTTCCTTTTTGGGTAGGATCCTAGCTAGGTTTTATTTTTCCACTCAGTTATATGATCTATAATGATGCAGCAATTATATCTGTCTATGTATTATATATATATATGCTTGTTTGTATTTATATATATATGGTATAGTCCCTCTAGTTTTGTGCATACATTTATTATGTACATAAATTTGAGGGTATATCTATGAATATACAGTATATACACACTCAAGTATAAGGGTGTATGTGTGTGTGTGAGAGAGAGAGAGAGAGAGAGCAAATCATTTATTGGCTATATCCAGCATATACATGAGCTGGAGGAACTCTACCCTACCATATTTTATTTTTGTATTATTGGATTTTTGAGTTATTTCAAGTTTTTTCCCCTTGGAATTTGAAGGAGCTGCTACTAACAGAACTCCCTTCTAGTTCCTCTTTCTTTGGTATAACACTAATGTACAGTGAATGGAAAGCCTTTCCGGGAAGCGCTCCTCTGTGCAGTGCTTGCCATTGCCATCGTCACTGCGTGTGCAGGCCCTGCAGCTGTGGGAGAGTGCGGGCTTCACCCTCGAGGCTGACACCGGTTGTCATAGGTGGAGAATTCCCACAGGCACAGCAATCCACAGTGTCTGCTGCAGCCCATGGAGAGCACCCCTTTCTAACCTGGGTCAGCTCAGAAAATCACTGATACTGCTCAGGAGATTAGGGAAGGGAGTGTCTGAAAACTAGGCATCCCAAATATCCACTTAGAAAAAGATTAGGAACCCCAAATGATGCTGTGGAACTACCTTGCTCTCTCAGGGGTCCCCTGATAGAGGAACTAGTTTGAATTTTGACTTTGGACAGGCTGGGAATGAATCCCTATAGAAGGTTTTCCCGTTTTAAAATTCCAGTTCCAGAACAGTACTGAATGTCCTACTGGAAAAAAAAGTACCACATTTCCACTGATAGGCCCAAACTTGTGACAATAAGTAATATGAAATGAAATTAATAGCTAGTGTCATTATTTTTGAACTTGAAAATTATAGTGCAAAATGCTTTAAATATTTTACTTTTTATTAAAATAGAAATAGGTGGGTTTTACCGTTACTGCTGTCTTCTTTTTCTCTTGAGGTTGTGTTTTGTGTCTTCTATATGCTTTTATGAAGTTTTAATTAAATATATATTAAAGTATAAGAATTTATTTTGGAAAACTTTAAAATTCTTGTTATGTTTTTAATTAAATTCTGCATAGTACCTAGACAGGGTATTTAGCCTCTAAGCGTATAAAAGGGATTAGGTGAGGCTTGTTTTCTTTCAACATTAGGGTGAATTAAGGGTATAATTTAGGTGTGAGTTGAAGACAGTCAAATGTTCCTTTATGCTTTTGTTCAGTTTTCTGAGTGTTGTGTCTGTAATAAGATCGTGCTACTTGTCTTCAACTTTGAAAGGGTGCATTGTGCTACTTACTAACTGCACAACATCTCACAGCCAGTAACCTGAGAGCAGGACCAGCCTGAGATGGCACCACTAAATGTCATTCTTGTGCTTCCCAGCATTCTAGGCACCTCCATTTTAAAAGTGGTTAAGAAAAAACCTAAAGGTTAAAATCCTTGAAAAGCTGTTAACTTGTGAGATATAGTTTTAGGCCATTCAGAATTCTTTATTTTTTATTTTATTTATTTGTGAGGAAGATTAGCCCTGAACTAACATCCAATGCCAATCCTCCTCTTTTTGCTGGGGAAGATTGGCCCCGAGCTAACATCTATGCCATCTTCCTCTACTTTATATGGGTCGCTGCCACAACATGACTTGACAAGTGGTGCATTGGTATGCACCCGGCATCCAAACCTGCGAACCCCGGGCCACCAAAGCAGAGCACGCAAACTTAACTGCTACGCCACCAGGCCGGCCCCCAGAATTCTTTTTTTTCAAAAATGATTAGTTATTAATGACCTTTTTAAAAGATCATCATAAACTGTATTTGAATATTTATTATATCATAATCACAGTGCAGAGTTATGGCTTAAAAACATATACTGTAAACTTGTCTCAGGTGCCATTTGTTTTACTAGTTAAATTATTTCTATCATAAATCTAACAATAATATGAATTTAAAATACTTTGTTGTTTTTAACTTGAAACAAATGTGTATTTCACATCTCAAACTAAGAATGGAAATAATTTTGTGATGTAAATCAAAATATTCTTCTGAAACTTTTATATAAAAGTTTCAAATTAATGGACTGTAAGACAGATTTTAAAATTTATTAGCTATAATAATTTTGTTTCACTTGGCTGTTCTTTTTCTAGGATTTACTAACAAGACATAAAGTATTGGTAGCAGACTTCTTAGAACAAAATTATGACACTGTAAGTAGAAGTCGTTTTTAAGACTTTACCTCATTCTCTCTTCCTCTCACTCCCTCCCTCCCTCTTAGATCTCTGAGCGCTTACTCCTATTTATGATCCACAGTACAAACCAACCATACACCCAATTTATCTATTACCTGGAAGCCAGGTCATCAGGCTCCCTGACAGGCAGAAACCTTAACTGTCGAACCCGGGGGTTCAGAGTACAAGACAGACTTTAGAATCCACTTGCTTGGCTTCAAGACTCAGCTCTGCCTCTTACTAATTGTGTGACCCTGGGCAAGTTACAGCACCTAGTACAAAATGAAGATATTAATAATACCTACTTCATAGGGTTACTGTGGGAATTTAACAAGATTTAAAGTTTTTAGAGTGTACCATGGTAAGCACTCAGTGTTCGTTTTTATCGTTATTACCCTATCCATAATACCTAACTCAGAGCCATACATCTGGTGGTGTTCCATGAATGTTGAATGGACAGATACAGCCAAAAGCAGCTATGCTTTAAAAACAATAGAAGCGGCATGTTTAAGTAGAACATAGCGCAAACCTAGAAGCAAAACTTTATAAGTTCTGTTCCAGTATTGGTTCTGATGCTCTAGACCAGTGCTGTCCAGTTAGAATATAATGCAAGCCATCATGTAATTTTAAATTTCCTAGTTATCCACACATAAAGATAAAAATAAACAGATGAAATTAATTTTAATAATATTTATATGTACTTAATACAGTATATAAAAATATTTTAATGTACTATCAATATAAAAAATGAGCTATTTTACATTCTTTTTTTATGTGAGTCTTCGAAATCTGGAGTATATTTTACACTTACAGCACATGTCAATTCAGACTAGCCACATTTCGATGCTCGTTAGTCACATGTGGCCCTGTATTGGACAGCACAGCACAGCTCTAGACTGTGACTCTGAGGAGGACACTCTCTTATCATCTTCATCATCATTGTCATCATTATCCTATTGGTGGTAGCACCAACAGCAGAAGTTATTTTTTACTGAGATTTTAGGCATTCTATATGTGTTAGTTAATCTTACTCATCTTTGTTTCCTCATTAGCTAGCACAGAGCCTGACACATAACAGCAACAATGTAATCTGCTATCTTAAAAGAGTACTTTGATGCCCAAACCAAGAAGTTCTAAATGTTTACATATATATGTAAATCATTATATATATATATATATTTGTATATATATTGATTAGTGGATTTTTGGTCTTCATCCATTAAAAGCAAAAGATAATTTTATGTATATATAGTATTTATGATAGTAATGAATAAATTAAGATAAAGTATCCTTATTGGTTGAAAGCTTTTGGTATTGAATTAAAGTATATGTATTTACAAAGAGGAATGTATTTTTGATGATGACTTTGTTGCTTCATGCCTTCCCAACAGTATCAAGCAGAGAGTTGGCACATAATAGACATATAATCAATGATGGCCAACAAATACTAATAATAACCCTCAAGAAGTCTCTGAACCATTTCTACCCTAGACACAACTTGCAGTATACTCCTGGACTCTAGGAATATATGGAATACCCTACCTGTCAGTGTCCTTTATCTTCACACATCCAAATCACAGAAATTTAACTATGTCCCTCTTATTCATAAATTATGTGCTGGTCTTCCTTTGATTTAAGATTAAGAATTAGCAATATAATCATGAAATCAAAAGTGATTTTCATATTCTAAAATTATCAAGAAAATATCTGTGGGATCAATTGGAGTATTTTGATCTAAGTGTAAAACCTGAAGGGAGAATAATATTTATTGCCAGAGACATCCAAAATCTTCAAAACTAAAAGAAAATGACATATTTTTGTATTTAGGAAATGAGATGTTATTATAGTTTGGTTGTTCGGTAACCGTATATACTAGATGGAATGTTAAAGAAAGACTCATTAGGTGTTACATTTATAATAAATGAAAATGAAAGAGGGTTAAGATAGCTTATGACAAAATCTGTAGTATCTACTACTAATCTTTTCTATAGAACAAGAGGTAAATATGTTGTGCAGTAATGCTTTGCGTTCAGGGATAATACACCACAATTTGAGAGACGATGGACTCATTCTCTTTGACGCCTTATTTACCTAATTTTATGTTTGTATCTATACCACTGCTTATGTAATTTAGTAGTTTCACAGACATGGAGCCTGCGGCACTGACTGAACACTACTGTGAGAACTCATGCTCCCTCAAACATTTCATACTTCTTCAGTTTCATATTTCTTTAGCAGAAAACCATGAAGCTGGAGCACATGATATGCCTCTAAAATAATGAAACTGGCAGCTTGGGGAATCAATCATACCTTATACATGTATTTACATTTTATAGTTACAATTAAAACTTACCACAAAGTTTGATAAATTTAATGACCCATAAAATCTTCCTTGTGTTTCATGACATTTAGAATAAATAGTAAGTCCTTCATATAAAAGAGTATAATTACTGTGATTTTAATGTGAGCTACATATTTTTGTTTTTGCTTTTCACTTTCTTAATTCTTTATTGGTAATTATCACCAGTTTGCATGGCATGCCCTCATCACACATCTGTACACACATGCACACACACACCTTGCACTCAGCCCTCTGAGGACCAGGACTGTTCCACTCTCCTCAGCCCCTGAATTCTTTCTCCTTCAGTTCTCTGCTGAGCTTGCTCCTCCCATCTTAGTGATCTCTGAGTATGTCACATGTGGTGGGAGGTTGACACTGAGCTTCCCCAGCTGCTGGCACTCTGTGTTAAATTAAAGGGCCTAGGTAATGATTGATGACCAGCTTGGGAAACGGGAGCCCCAAGCAGCAGTGTCCCCCAGCTTCTGGGGAGAGTGGAAGTGCACCAGAAAGGCCAGCTGGGATTAGCATGGCCATCATGCGGCATCATGCCCCATTCCTCTACCTGTTCATGCGATGAATTTGATTCTTTTTGGGTTACCAAGTGAAGCCCTAAGTGTATTATTTTATCTTTTTCCAAATTATTCGTGGGCTAATAACTACCAGCAAGGCTACATAAACGGATTTCTTTAACATGGCATAAAATAAGTTCACTTGCAGCTCATTTAATAGATGAGTTAACACATGTTTTATTCAAAATGATTTATTGGGAAGACTCAATTACTCCATTTTCTACTCTGTTTTTAATTTGCATAACTAAAATAAAATAGAGAAGTATGTCTCTTGTATCACTTGACCTCCCTGTCCCCTAGTGTCTTTGTGTGTAAACGAGGATGGTAAAATGAGGAAACCTCCCTCTGGACAGTGGTGACCAGCCTAAGGTTAAGCATATCAAGATACAAAGCATAGCAGCTGGGCTGCGCTGGCTGGGAGGTTGGGGATTTACTTCAGAAGCAAGAGAGTAAGCAAACCTAATGCACAGAAATCACTGCTGGTTTTACACTCTAATATTTATTTTCTTTTCATTAGATTTTTGAAGACTATGAGAAATTGCTTCAGTCTGAGAATTATGTGACTAAGAGACAATCTTTAAAGGTAACATCAAATTTCTTTAAGTTAGAGTCGTCATAAGTTGATATCTTATTAGTAAATGATTGGTCTATTAGTGAACAAGTGAATATAGAAAAGTTGAAGTATCCCTTTTTTTGTAACTTGAGAAATATGTTTTATGTTATGACTATACCTTATAGCAAAACAATGTAAGTATGATGCCTCAAGTATTTTGTGTTTTTTTTTGGCAAGGAAGATTTGCCCTGGGCTAACATCTGTTGCCCATCTTCCTCTTTTTGCTTGAGGAAGATTAGCCCTGAGCTAACATCTGTACCAGTCTTCCTCTATTTTGTATCTGGGTTGCTGCCACAGCATGGCTTGACAAGTGGTGTAGGTCTGCACCCAGGATCCAAACCCATGAATGCTGGGTCGCTGAAGCAGAGCGTGTGAACTTAACCACTACACTACCAGGCTGGCCCCTCAAATACTTTTTGGAAGTAACAATATAAATAAGTACACAATAAGGGGTGCGTGTGTGTAATCAAACGACATTTGCAATTTGAGATTATATCTCCTACACGACCCCTATGGAAATGCCACTCTCCCTCATCAGACAGGGAGCCCGGCAGAGTAGGGCCACATCTGTCTGTGAGTGGCCTTCTCTCCCTCAATGAAAACAGTCATTTGGCCAGGAGGAGGTGGCACAGCTCATAGGGGAGTGGGACATCAGCTAGAGCTGCATCTCCACCTTTCAGATGCCATCAGATATTCAAAAGAATGTTGTTCGAGATAGTAATTGGCTGTTTCTTGTCAAGCAATTTGTATGATGTTTAACCTTCCTAAATATCACTCTTATATTATTTTTATATGTTGGGATGATGACATCCATAGAACAATGCATTTGTTTCTAAATATTGGACACAGGTTTAAGCTAAAGCAATAAATTAAATCTATTTTCTACCACATTTTTGTCAGTTCACTTGGCCATGATTTTGTGATGGCCATGACCTGCTTTCCCCTGTGTCTGTGCCGTCACTGCTGCAGCTTTACCCCTGGGTGGAAAGGACAATGTACTATTTTCAGCCAGTCTTTCAGCACTCTTTATTGAGTTTCCCCTTGTGTAGAAACCCGTACAAGGTGATCCATGTAGAAAAAAATACCATGGGTAGGCTGCTCTCCGTGCTGGAGTCTGGAGTGATGAGACAGAGCTCCAGACAAAGGCAGTACATTAATGCAGCGTTCTCCATGTCCAGAAAGCTTATTAAAAGCAGTTGAAGATAAAGATACATCCTATTGCCACAGCCCCGTACCTAAAGAATGGAATTCTTTATTTGCAAAGAGCTCCACAAGGACAACCAAAACCAGGGGAGCTTTTCCATGTTACAAGAGATAGTCGCCCTGGGAGGGAAGTGGAAATTGGAACAGTAAACAGAGTGACAGTGCTCTGAAGGGCCAACATATAGGAAATCGCTCATAAATTTTCCAAATCCTTTTTCTTTTCAGTGGGAATCTGTCAGATACTGGACCAAAGTAGAGAGGTTCGTATGAATTAAGGTGACTGAACCAAATTGGGATCAAGAAAGCTGAGGGTCATGGACTTTAGAATTTATCCTTGTACCGTTTTCAGCAACGACAAGAACTTGTGACAGAAATTCTTCTGTGATCAACTGTCTCTAGGGCCTTAGGCACAGTTATAAAGCTGACAGTTTTTTACCCAAACATCTTCCTTCTGGGCCCTCTTCCTGCTTTTTCTGTCATGTTATCCTATCATCCCTCCCTACCCATGTGCCCAATGCCCTCATTCTCTTCTCAGGATGTCTTCAGCTGCACCTTGTCCTGTTCCCTTGTTAATATTTGTAAAATGGTTAGAGCAGAGCCTAGCACATGGTACGACCTAGATATGTTTGCTAAAAAAAATAAAAATAAATTTTATAAATATTCCTCATCGTTATCCCCAGAGTTCAGTCTGTGGAAGGTGTTTGATCTATTCTAAATAAATAATTGGGACTAGGGTATGAATTAGACTTTTTCCTACCAGGATGCATTTGCATTTGAAAATAGAAACCTGTTAATCCAGTGGATGTAGGATTAGTTCAATATGTGATACAAATTTTGGTGGGTAGCAAAGGGGAGTGAGGATGACTCATTTCTCACCACTGTCTGCTGCCACCAGCTCTCCGCCATCCAACCTCCCTTCTCCTTTTCATGCAGTTCTCCAGCTACAGACCTAGACCCTATTCCCAGTGACGTGGGCAAAGAGCAACCGAATTTGTATCTGGTATTGAAAGTCTTGTTTAAACTCTCCCTTTTCAAACTGACTGTTTCCTACTTGTTTACCAGTGCCCCAGCCCACTCATGAGGCCTCTCTCCTGTTCTTTGTTAATCCACCCAGACATACTACATTAGCTGCTATTCCTGCCTAAAATTCTTTACAGTTGAGTGTCTCACAATATTTGATTTACAGTATGGTAAAACCAAGCACTGGTTGGACAGTGAGAAAAACTCATAAAAGGCGGATAAAGCGTATCTAAGAATGCAGAAATTATTAAAATGGCTAGCAAGAGTTAGATTTTTTCGAATGCTAGATTATAGGCAGAGACATTGCTAAAATGGTCTTGTATCACTCTGTTCAAGGAAGGAGCTCATTAAATATTGTTTGCTCTTTTCTTCAATAGAAAAACATTGTTTTGGAGAACTCTGCCAGTGCACTGTTGGTTTTTCCTTTTGGGAATTAGATCTATGGGAGCATTATGTTCTGTTTGACATAACCATGTTTATATTTCTGGATTCGGTAATTTTTTGTACATAGATGTTTCATAATTTTAAGAAACAAGAAAGCTTAGATTATTATAAAAGTATACTTATTTACAGTATTCTATAAGTAATAAACTGTCTTAAAACTAGGCTATTTTTGGATTCAAAGTAGTTGCTGGTGTCTTTTGTTAATTACATTCTAAATTTTCCTGAACTATGTTGGGGTGCTTAGATTCCTGGTGTCAATAAAAAATAATTAACAGAGAAATTCCTTTCCCTCATGTGACACAGCTTAGGAATTATTTCTTATCTACTTCAGAGGGCTGGCATTTAATTACTAGGAAGAAAGATTATAATTCAAAAGAAAATTGGTGGAATTTTGGGGTTTTTTTGGGCTCTGGTCACTTTCATTAAAACACTAAGTTTTTAAAAAACTTATTATTTCTACTTACTGTGCATGGTTTTACTGTGTACTATGAAGCCTATAAAATGAAATTTAAAGAAGTAAAATATGAATTTTTTCCCATTTACTTAGTACAGTATTGCTTTATAGTGCTTTGTATTATAATGAAATCCAGCATTTTGTCATTGTCAGTGTTAATTAAAATAGATTAACATTTAATGTCTAAAAGATTCAGTGTTGTTAGTCAAGGATTTAACACAATTGATTACTTCAGAAAAGTAATGAAAATTATATTGGCAGAGGACAGATTGGATAGAATTTATATGTAGGCATCCCTGTGTAATAAAAATTGAAGTGACTTAATCTGAATCTAACTCACAAATGTCACCTCAACAAATGTTTATTGAATGTGTGTGTGTGTGCATGCGTGTGTGTGTGCATGTGTGCACATTTTAAGGGTCAATTTTTTTACATGAAATTTCTTTTTCTGAAAGACCTTTTGATATGTCTATGTGATGTGATATATATGTGTGTGCATATATGATATGTTATATGATATATTTTATAAAAATATATCTATATAGAGTCTGTATGTATATAGAAGCCATGAATACACACATATGTGTGTGTGTGTATCTTTAGAAGCTGCTTGTCAGCTTTACAACCCAGAATTTTTTTCTTTTTTAAGAGTCTGGGAGCCATCCAACTGAAATGTAAACATCTAGGAAGATAGCACTCCTATCTCCCTGTCACAGGAGAATTTAACCTTGGTGCTTCTCTCCAAGCTATAAGCATTTGCTTGTCAGTGAGATAAGAGATGGTTTGTTATTCTCTTTTTTAGTTAGATAAAGGCAATTAATTAGCTAAAACAAATTGCTCCCTCAGTGGCTGGGTGAATTTAGGATAAACTATGAAATGGTGCACAGCAAATGGCGCTGTCAAGTCTTCTTAGAGGGATAGGTTACCTTTCATCTTGAGAATATATGTATGTAATGGATTATAGCTGCTGGTCTGTATAAATAAGGTGGAATTTTATCTGTCTTAGTAATGTCATTTTTGCAGATTACCTACAGTGTTGTGCTCTGGATATGCTTATTCAATAATAGAACTTTCTTTTCTACATTTTGTGGAGAGGATTCTTTGTTGGTAGGACTTGATCTCCCCAACAATGTCCACACATATCACACAGTTAGCTTGTAAGGGATACAAACACAAGCGAGATTTGATGCATGCCCTTATGGAGCTTACATTCTAAAGAGGCTCATAAGTAACTCTGTACCACAAAGCAAAGTGAGAACAACTAGGAAAAGACAAAGAGCACAGAGGTGAGAGAGGAGATTCAGCTCAGGAGAAAAGTCAAACTCATAGAAACAGAAGGTAGAACGGTAGTTATCAGGGGTTGGGGGGTGGGGAAATGGGAGATGTTGGTCAAAGGATACAAACTTTCAGTTATCAGATGAATAAGTTCTGAGGTCTAATATACAACATGGTGACTATAGTTAATAATACTGTGTTGTATACCTGAAATTTGCTGAGGGTAGATCTTAAACATTCTCACCTCAAAAAAGGAGGGTAACTATGTGAGGTGATGGATGTGTTAATTAACTTGATTGTTGTCATTGTCTGCTTGACTTGCAAGTGTATCCTCTTTTATGTAGCATGCCATGCTGTTTCTCAAGTGACAAAATGTGTCATTACTGTATTATTTCTATCATTACTTTATTATTGTTATATATTCTTGCTGTGCTGCTAGTTCTATTTAATTTTCATGAAACTTCAGCTGTTTATACTGTTGACGCAAATAATCTGTAATCAATCTATAAATCAAAATTAAGGTGAGTTTATTATGAGCCAAATTTGAGGACCATATAGCCCGGGGCCTTCCTTC